AGTCTTCTTCTTATCATAGCATACCAACCAGCGAACACCCAGCCAAGTTTAGTTAGCCAGTTTGAGTATTCGTTACACGGAGCTGGATTTCATTTGACAGGATTTCATTCGCTTGGCCAAGCACGTGACGAGACTTGGCATTGGAACAACTTAAATAACTTCGCTCCTTTCAGATTCTCTTCTCTCTTTAGTTTGATTTCTTCGTACCTACGGTTTTAGTTCTAGCAATTGATTCAAAAGCTGTATACACTTTATCCTTTGTTGGCATCCGTGACAGTCTAGCCGTTTATAGATATTAGACTAACCTAAGTTTCCTTTAAGAAAGTCTAGTGCCTCTATAGTCTAGGCTACTAATATTATATATATAACCTAACTACCTACTTTAGATTCTATAGCTATATATCTTAGCTATCTACTTATATTAAAAAGTTCTACTTCGAAATATAAGATCTCTCTATAGATTATCTCCTCATTTTACTAGACTTCTATATTTCTAAAGTTTTTAAATACCTTAACTATCTTACCTCTTTTATAGTTCTAGAAGTATAGCTATATATAAATACATTCTAGCTTAATAACTTAGTCTATAACTACTGTTCTTATATTAGTAACTTTATTTATATACTAAGTAGGTATAGGCGATTTCGGAATTAGTCTAGCTCGCTAGTTAGTAAAGATAGGTTTTCGGGACGCTACTTCTTCTAATATTATACTATTATTTAAAGTAGAGAAAGAGAAGGTTATCTAGTAGTTATAGCGCTTTATTTCTATAGTATTTAGACTAACTAATAGTTCTAGGTACTATAAGCTCTTACCTTAATATTATACTACTTTAGTCTAGCTCTATCTATTATAATTAATACTATTATAAGGTAGTATTCCTCTAAAGTTAGGTTTAATATAAATATAGTTACTAGTATATTCCTTTAATAAATTAGGAGCTTCTTAGATAAGTGTAATCTTCTTTATTAGCTCCTTGGTTAGTTCTTATTAATTTTCCTTCTTAAGTAGTATCCTCTCTCCTATTAAATAAGACTTATAGTATACTCTATTTTCCTTTTTTATAAATAAGAAGAATCTATACTATTTCTTATAGTAGACTACTATAACTATACTTTTATTTATTATACCTACTTTGCTTTTAGTGTAACCGTGTGGAGTGAACCACTGCTTGCTGTGATGAATACGGAGTCAAACGGAAACTGCTGTATTGAGCGAACAACAAAGTGAGGAAGGAAGAGAGTTCCAGAGGAACGAGAGCTTAAATACAGGATGCCAGCAGCGCGCACGTGACACATACTACATGCTGCGCTACACGTGATCAACCCCTAGTTCCTCCAACTCCGTAACATTTAGAGTCTACTTAGTTAAAAATCTATAGAAATACTAGGCTAATAGCGCTATCTATAATTTAAGTATTTTTATTAATTTCTTTTTATAAGATTCGATCTTTAGTTTATACTCTTAGAGAAACTTACTAGATTATAAAAGAGGTATTCGTCACGAATCACGTGTTGTCACGTGAGAAGTGAAGACCAGACGGCGTCCTGACAAGTCAAGCACTAATTAACGCTCTTATAGCAAATGGGATCGCTTGGGCCAGCTAAGCGATCCAGGGATTTCCTTCGTATCTTGTCACGTGACTAGTTGGACCGACTGGACCGACGATCGGTCTGAACTTCTGGAACGACAGGACCGACCAGCGGTCCTGGCAAGGTACAGGAAAGTGAAGGGTCTATATAAGACTGGCACGTCTGCCATTAGATAGGAGCTTCGTG